CAACTGCGTGCGTGACGTCGTTGATTCTATGAATAACATCTTGAATATCATCTTTGCTCGACTGCCATGTCCGTTGCTCTTGCTGGGTTTCCCTTATTTGGTACGTCATGTGGAAAGCAAGTTGAGCTCCAAAGCGATGTAGCTTTGCGGCAGTCTCTTCGATCTCTTTCTTATTCCATACCCATTTCCAGGCCGCCTTACCGCGACGGCGGAGACTGCCATGCTGAGCGGATAAGAGCCCCAGGTTCTCGAGACGCAGCAGAAGTTTCTTTGAAAGTTCACAGCATCCGTCTGCCACTGATAGGAGAGCCTTTTGATTCATCATCATTGTCAGTATCTCAGATTTAGCGACCATAAAGTTGAATTGGAAATAGACATAGGAAAATGGGAAAAGGAGAAGAGCAGAGGGAATATAATGAATAGAGTTAAGGAGTCGTCAATCACCTTCTCCTCGGGTGGTACCGTCGACGATGCCTGCGCAATAGACTGAGCCGAGGCGCTGACCTTATCGGCCAACACCTTCAGGTGTGTCGCAATTGCAGCATGGTCTTTATGATCAGCCGAGGCTGCGTCATTCCCAAGCTCTCTGGACTTAGATATGAGCTTAGTGGAAAAGTCAATGAACTGCACCACGTTCGAGGCAAGTCCTAGAGCCACAAGTGCTTCCATGGTACGTACGATGCGCGGTAGCTGCCATCACACTAGGTATGAAACATTGGGTATAAAAAACAAGGTTGATGGGAACATTCCATCAGCAGGCTAGCGGGATTTTATATGCTTGTTCATGTCTACTCCGCCTCCTATCTTGACGCTGTGTAACACTGTAGTCGAGAGCCTTACACCATGTTGGCCAATTAGGCAGACTTCATGTTGCATTTTGGGCTTGCTTCGCTGTCATTACTGCACGTCCCAAGTTTTACATTGGTCCATCATATTATTGATGTGTGTGGGATGTAATTTCCGATTGGGTTTTGAGAGGTAGACAACGGTCCGCCTATCTGCATGCCTCGACCTCCTTTGGGGAGCCTTGCTACGTCAATCGGTAGGAATATCCTTGTTGGGCCAGGGACTTGCGGTGAAGATCGACGTTTTGCTCCATGGTGAACCTAAATCTTCAAGTTTAGTAGGTTAGTGTTAAGTCGGGCATGGGAATGGTAACATGATGTGTTAGCTGGTAGTCACTAGGCTTCATTTGATATACGCAGCTCTGAGAACAAATCATCGATATGTCCCATTGTCGTGCTCATCGGGTCACGCTATTAAGCATGCTGAATAATCTAGCAACTCCCCAAACGCCTGCCCAAGTCATGCCCTTGATATCATTACGCGTTGCGTCCATCCATACGGCGTCCCTCATCTGGTTTCTTCTCCGGCGCCTTGCCCTTATCGTCGCCTTCGCCCTTTCGTTTGACTGCTCCCCTAAGAGTCTGACCTTGACCTGCGAAGTGTGGCTTGCTTGCTTTCTCCTTCTCTTCTTGCTTATCCGCGTCGGTTTTGACTGGCTTGATCTCGTAGCCGAAGAACAGTTTGTTAGGAGGTAGTCGTAGAGGCATGGGGCCGTTTGTTCGTCTTTGCGGAGCAGGTACCGTGTGGGAGGAGGCGCCGGCAACAGGAGTGGTGGGTTTGGGTGTAGGAGCTTTCGCACCCTTCTTGGCGTTCAGTTTGTGACCCTCATTCAGGAAGTGCGACGAGACTGCTCGAGCTCCGGCAGCTGCAGTTGTGGCGTTGGGGGCGATGGCATCGTAGTTGATCGACTGGGCCATGGTACCCTGAGGGTGCATCATTCCACCGACGGGGAGGCCGCCCTTGGTACTTCTTGGTGTGCTGGTACCGCTACCCTTCTGCGGCTCGACGTATCCCACAGGCGGGGCAAACTCGACCGAGACATCGGTCTCGATCATACACACACCCATCTTCTCCGTCTCGGGCTTCACCTCCAGAACAGCGACATCGTAGACCTCGTCGTTATAGGAAAAGTTAAAAACGTCGCCTTTGGTGAGGGTGGCAAAATTTCGGAACGCCTTCTCTAGAACTGCCTTGGGATCACTAATGTCGAGGAAGTTGGTAGACTGCGGTTGTAGCTTGACCATCTGGGCCAAAGCTAGGGATGTAGACTTGATCTGGATCATATCACCGACGTCTAGCCGCAAGGTTTGCATCATCTGTGCTTGTTAGCTGTCTATTTAGGGTTGATAGTTAAGAGTCCAGGACTTGAACCAACCCATTGTGGTATGTACGCTCGACCTTCCTCGGCAACGAACTCCAGCACACCTGCATGTGTTTGAGACTCCTTCTCGCCATTCACCAGTTCCATCATCAGCGGCCACTGCACATGCATCTGGGAGATCTTCTGAAGTGAGGAGGGCGGCAGGATGATTTTGGAACCGTAATTCAGGTACGGTCTTTCAGGGCCGGGAGCCATGATGATTGGGTAGCATCGGAAGTACTCGTCGAAGCGACGCATGGCTGGGCCACGCATCATGCCGGAACGGGCCATATACGACATGGCTGCCGGATCGTCGGCGTCGAAGGGGTTGAATCCGCGATACTATAAGTTGTTGTGGTTAGTATATCTTGCGCGAGAACGCCTAGATGCTTTAGATAACCAGTAGTATAACGAACCATGATGACGCGGGGTTACGACGAGCTTAAGTATGCGAGTCCAAAGAAGTAAACAGATGAACTAGGAGTACTTGCGTAACTAGAAGTTGTCTCTAGAAAAACTAGAAATGATGGATGTTCTAGGAAGACGGAAGTTTTGGTTCCTGACAAAGTTTCTTGAGACCTCGAGAGTTAAAGGCAGCTGCGCGTGATGACGAAACTCCGGTGTAGACATTGTTCCGCCTAAGGTACCTTTTTGCACGTAACCGTAACCAGGCTGCCAGGGACAGTGCCACTACGTGGAACGCTAGAAGCTCCACTAGACAGCCCAAGAGATCCTCTAGCAGCCCCTAGCAGCCCTAGCTCCAAAGCTACGTGCCCCACTAATGAGCTACCTTACAGCTACTCCCTTGTCCAAATTTGAACGTCATAATAGCCGACTTCCAGTTCCAATTCCAATATTTCAATCCATCCTTCCAATTCAGGAACATCATTACACAGGTGTACCAAACGTCGCAACCACCATGTCCTCCCGATTTAGCGCCGCGCGCCCCAAGCGTGCGGGCGAAAACTACGCGCGAACGCACCACGCAGAGCCCAATTCCAAAAAAGTCAAGTTCGACGTGAGGAACCCTTCGGCCCTAGCCCCCGACGCCGAAGATGAGGACGATGAGGAAGTCGACGTCTTCCTCGAAGCCGACGCGGACGTCATCCGCGGCAGCGCTGCGACCAAGCGCCGGGCTGTCAACATCGACGGCTACGACTCGGACTCGGACCGCGAGGAGCTAGGCACCCTGCATGCGGCGAAGTCTAAGCCGAAAAAGGACGACGAAGACATGGACGATATGTTCGCGGATGAGGGTGACGACGACGAGATGGATGATACGGTAGACAACTCCACGGGGAAGAAGAGCAAGGAAGTCAAGTTCCAGGACACCGAGAAGATCGACGGCCAGGAGGCAGATTCAAGATCCGGCGGGCACGTGCACATCGACGAGTCGTCGTCTGGAGAGGATGACGAGGAGACGATAGAGCTCGCCATACAGGAGGAGGGAATCGACGAAGAAATAGGCGCTGGCGGGCTCAAGAAGCACGCCCCCAAAGTCGAGGCCTTCAACCTCAGAGCTGAGAACGAGGAAGGAAAGTTTGACGAAGCCGGCAACTTCGTGCGCAAAGCCGTCGACCCGGATGCCGTACATGACCGGTGGCTCGAAGGTGTCAGCAAGAAGGACATGAAGAAAGCCGCCGAAGCCCACGAGCGCCGCGAGGCTGAGCAACGGCAAAAGCGCAAGGAGGACGACAGCGCCCTAACTTCAGATCTTCTCAGATCCCTCATTCTGCAACTAGAGCCCAGTGAAACAGCCCTGGAAGCTCTCGCTAGACTAGGCCGAGGGCAGACGAAACCGAAGAAGGTTCCTAAGTGGAAGCAGAAGAAGCAGAAGTCCGAAGCCATGGAAGTAGACGCCGAGAAAACGCCCGAGGACCCGGAGCAAACGCGTATCAAGGAGGCCATCAACGACATCACAGAAGCCGCCGACAAGTTGCTCGGGAGAGATCGCCCAGATATCTACGAGCGCGAGCGGGAGCGTCTGATCCGCGAGTTCGCGCGCGAAGCGGATGAGCCGTGGGTCGAGCCGCAAAGGGAGTCCGAGGTAGCGCCCACAGCCAGGATGTGGGAGTATCGCTGGGTCGACGGCAGAGACAACGCCGACAAGCAGGGCCCGTTCGACGGGCCGACCATGAAGGCCTGGCAGGACGCGGGCTACTTCGGGGAAGGCGTCGAGTTCAAGGAGGCTGCCGGCGGGGACTGGAGTCGCGTTGCTGATTTTGTATGAGTATCGATATCTACATCAACGGACGACATATGAATAATATCACCAGCGTGTTTTATGACAACGTATTCAATGCTTGAATGTGATATACTACAATTGACCTTAGCAACCGAGGTGTCTGGATTATTCGAGACATTCTAATATTATAACAAAACATGAATGTGTTATGACACTACCCACACGGGCTTCCCTTCCTCTTTTAGACTCTACCTCCCACGGACGAAGTCAACCGATTCGGACGACGCAAAAACACCAGTCTTCCAAAAATCATGCCCACGTCTCTAGCAGAATTCAACCGCCAATTTTCTACCTGAGTGCGGGCAATCCCAAGTGAAACTAGATGATATAAATATACATGCCTCCCACCCCGCCAGTTGAAAAAACCCATGATCGACTCACCCATTTATAAGCTGAATGCCGTCATACCATTTGCCCACACATAGCCTATAGGTACCTACCTAATTAACCGAGTTGTAGTTGCTGTTTGCAGAAGTTTACAATGATGATATATTTTATACTAACAGCAGTCACATATAATGAGACACGTGAACTGCCACGTCTATACAGGTATTAATGGTTTAGTGGTAAACCCGTCGCTCGCATCGATGGGCCACAAGCCGTGTTCGATTCACGGCTGGTGCGATTCCTATGGGATGACTTTTCAAGTCGCACTACTAGCGATTGAGACTGCTTTACCTGTTCACGAGTTATAGAAAAGAACAAATTACTAGTGATGTCACCAAACAGGCAGATTATTTAGGAAATTAATCCCATATTCGGATGACTCGTCAGTTTATCTTCCAGTTATCTTCCTAAATAATCTCCCTGTTTGGTGACATTATCTAGTAATTTGTTCTTTTCTATGACTAGCTGCACAGCTAAAACGGGCTCAGTTGTTAATGGCGCGGCTTGAAAAGTCATTTTATTTACAATCTATTATTCTATTTTATTTAAAATGATTATATTAATGAAAAGTATTTCCAACTAGATAGCATTTAAATATATAAAATAAACAATGAAGTATATCAATCTCTACTACGTTTAGACGAAGTAGCAGCAGTTATATTAGAATCTGCCACTCTTTATTTCTTTTTTAAATCTATTATTATGCTCACAAGGCGAGTTCAGTTTTTCAAGAGTCAAAGTTTCCTATGCCTGTCTACCTAGCCTCCCCCTTTCACACACGCCCCCCGGAAACCCCAGAGTCAAGGGGGTTCCGTCAAGATTCGCCATACTTTAAACCTCCTTATCACGAATATAAGTATCCATATCATCAGCCTAAGCTACAACATCATAGCCACCTCGACCGTGTTTGCTAGACCACCTACACTACACGCAAGCTCGAGAAACGACGCTGTGTTCGTCCATCGTTAGAATACAACCAACAAGCGTGTTCCAACTTAAGTAGACACAGCACGTACACATATCAAACATCAAAGTTCATCACCAGTCAGAATTTCAAGTCAAGTAGGTAAATCATCTTCAGTAGTACCATTTCCATTTTGCTCGGCCGTGCCGGCGGGATATCATTTAAAGCAGCCACTGCTAGGGGAAAATACACAAGTACGTAGCCGATACTTTAGCAGGCGGGACGCCAACTCGACCTCAACCTCAACCGCTTCATCCTCTTCGCTGTCTCGTTCAACTCCTGATACACCTAGCCCCTTTTATCTTTCTTTTCTTTCCTCTTCTCTTCGCTTCGCTACTCTCTTTCATCTTCTCTTCGCTCCCTTCGTCTGTCTGTCTTTCCGACCAAAAGCAACTGCTACTAAGAAAAAAGCCAAATCATGTATATCCTCAGCCACGGGTTAGAGACCGCCGTATAGGGATTTTTTGCACGTTGATGATGATGAGCCAGCCCTCCCCCCTTATATTTCCGTCCGTTCCAGCGAGACGCCGCGTGAATGCCTGCCCAATCAATGTCCGGGTCGAGAAAAAATCCTTCCGACTCCAATACTCTCACACGTACATCCTGACTGCCTGGAATAGGGGACTGTTTGTTGCAAAGGGGTCGTCCAAAATGCGAAATAGTAGTGGTGCTCTGGTATCATGTCGTAGAAATCATGGTTCATATAATACATTAGAAATGCAGAGATTAATGTTGCCGTGGGAAAAAAACCGAAGTTGTCGTTTGCTGGTCTCACTTCATGTCTTGGGTTGGTTGGGGTCGTGGTTTAATTGATAACACCGTTTGTCATGGTGTGCCCGACTTTGCTCAGAGCATCAGATGGCTTCCACGAGTGGTTGGCCAGCATGACTTTTCGCAGGACTTCGAGGGTGATTGGTATGGCTTCCTCAGCCGTCGACCATGGTCCAATTCGGTCAATGAGCTTGCCTATTGGGCCACCGTCGTCCGATTTCGAGCTCCCATCGTACACACCCATGACTTTGCGAGCATTTTCGGAGAGGCGCCAAATCTCTTGCTGGTCCTTGCTGTTTGCAATAATCTCTTTCGCAAACTCGGGATCGGGAGAATAGGAGCACAATATACGGCTGATATAGCCAAGACAGACTCCCTGAAGACGCAATACGAGCGCGGTCAGTTGACTGTGTCTAGCACAATCAGTTCGGGATACTCGAAACAATGCTAGGGTATCTCTGAATGAGCGGGTCGAACAAGGTTTTCGCTCAAGATCGGAAGCATCACTCTGTAGCTTGAAGCCGAGCAGAAACGAGACCAGACACTGAATGCCAGCGGCAATAGCAACTTGGCGATCGCGTTCCGAAATACCCTCCGACGGCCTCTTCAAAACCCCATCTCGTTCGTGCTTTAGTTTAGTGCCGAGCTGAATAAAAGTCCCGGCTTTTTGCTGTAACCTGTGAAGCTTCTCAGTGTCGACGGGTGGACGGCGACGTTCAGGAGGTTGCGCGGCAGGTGTAAGGCCGTTCGCAACGCCAGGAGTGCCAGCTTGGGAGCTGCTGGATGCGACCCGAGTCATCGTCGAAGATTGTCTCGGTGGTGTAGAAGGACGTATGGCTTCGGAGGTCTTGGGTCGTTTGGACGGCTCGCTAGCTTCCGTCACGGGAATAGGACGCTTACGTGCAGTGCTGGGTTCCAAGCTATCGGAACGGTCGCGAGTTGCGCGGTCGTCTTTTCTCAACAAGTCACTCTTCTTCTTTCCACCTGGAGGTAGAGCTAGAAGTCGTTCTATGGTTTTTGCGTTCCGCTTCTTGTATTTCATTGTCACCATAAGTGACTCCTTCTGTTCCTTCTGCTCCTTCTGCCCTTTGTTACTGTCGACGTGGATAGTGGTCTCTTCCCGTTTCAAGGACTTCGTCGCTTTCTTCTGATCAGGAGGGGAATCTGGAATTTGGCCACTTCTTTGACTCGAGTCCTTTGAAGATGTCGATTTGTTCGACTTGGCTAGTTCTTCCATGACAATTGGTGGGAGTGTCGGAGATAGAAGGGGTGGGATAACCCGCCGCTTCTTAGAACTGGGAGACGGCTCGCGATCATCTCGATTCTTCTTCGGCGGGGGCTTCAGGGTGTTGGAGTCCATAGGTTTCTTCTTGGGACTGGGGCGTGGCGCTTTAGTATCGTCATCCATATAGTCGGACATGTCAATTGGAGATAGTAACGGAGGCATCTTGGGCTTTGGATTGCTCTCCGTCTTCTTATCAGCACCGTCCTTGCTCCTGTTAAGTTTTTGGCTCCCGTTCATCTGAGCACTGGGTCTGGGCGAAACGCCTTTGTTCCCCGCGCTATTGAGTGCTGATTTCCCATTAGTGGTGGGCAGAGCTTTGGCCTCTTTCGGTAGCTTCTTTTCGGATGTGACCTGTCGCTCTGACTTTTGAGGGGTATTGCCACTACCCTTGACAGGACGCGAGCTTATGGAATTGGGTGTCGCATTTTCAATCTTGGTCCGCTTCACCGGTTTGGGATCGTGGTCGGCTTCTATAACTCGTTTCCTTCTCTCCGGTGAAGGACTACGGTGTCGACGCGCCTCGGGCTTGTGGTCAGACTTCGCGTCGGATATCTCTTTCTTCGGGTCACGGCGGCCCTCCATATCCTTCGCAACCTGATCCGATAGTTTCTTCGCAGGCGCATTCACCTTTGGAGGCCGCGGAGTTGGCTTGGGCGGTTCGTCGCCTTCGGGGGTCTTTTTCCTGTTCTTGTAGTCTTTGAGAGACAGCTTCGTCTTGGGTTTATTAGGGTCACTTTTCCGGATTATCGGAGCAATGATCGCATTGGTAGAATCTACGGGATCTTGTCGCACGTCGAAATAGGCGCGGGTTAGGAGGACGCCGCGGTCTGCGTCGCCAACGAAGGTTGTGTATTGAAGTTGTCTAGTATCTTGTTCTTCTAATCGCTTGTCGTCTACTGGTGGTGGAAATCGGCGCGTCGGATATTCTGATGAGGATAGATAGTGTGCCTTAGGGGGCAGGACGTTCTTAACTAGTGCTTCAATCGTCTTGGTTGCTTCCTCCATGGTTTTCTTTGTTCATGCAACTTTAGAATGTTGCACGCGAAACCTGGTGCCTGGATCATGAAAGAAAGCGCGGATTGTATGCGGATGGGTACGTGGTTGAAGGTATCATTAGGTTTCGGGATGTGTTGCGATAGGATAGGGATTTCTGTAGATTTTGGAGTTTAGTATGCTAGTCATAAGTCATTCCGCAATAGACAAGACGTAATGATCAGTGAATTAAAGACCCGAGTACCAATTTTGATGTGTTGTTATTCTGGCAATGGCGGAATCAATTTGAAAGGGCGGGCATTGGTTGAATTGGAAACAATGGAGATAGTACATCAGAAAAAAATAAAATAAAACAAGTATCTCAGGTATCCCTAGGTACTATAAAACAAGAGAGATACAAGAAAACTAACCTTAGAGTGCTCGCTTTGGTCTATACAACTGCACTCCCATACAAAATAAGTACGGCACAATGCAGTTGATAGACGAAAGCTATTGTTGTCGCGTAGACACCAAATGCTGTCTTATCCAGCCTCCAATAAATCCTCGTGACATTCGGCCCGGCGCATCGCTCATCAAATTGTGGCTCGCGTCGGCGAATGATTAAACCAAGATACCGGGGTACCAGAAGTGACAATGACCTTAACGAGTTGACGCGGGAAGAGGTTCGTGATGAGAAATAAGAGTGAGAGAAAGTATCTCTTGGATAATGTGCGTGCCGATGAATGTCGTTGCAGATGATGCGTTATGATCGGCAAGCGGGAAGGATGTTGGTGAAGTCAAGTGGGTGGAAGACGGACGGTAGCAGCGTAGCGTAGGTAGGTGCTGGGTAGGTGCTGGGTAGGTGCTGGGTAGGTGCTGGGTCCGCTGGGTAGCGTAGCGTGTAGGGTGTAGGGTACTATGTAGGTGTACAATAAAATATACAGGGATGTTCCAGTATGGGTGCTTGGGTTGCCTTGAGCCTTGGGTGAGGGACCGGATGGTGACAGAAGATGGGGCAGCAGGGCGGGCAAAGATGGACCCCCCAACTTTCCCCCGTTCCAGGTTGTCACAAAAATGTTTGCGTTGCTCTTGCACTTGCTGATAGCTGATGTTGCAGGTGCCAGTTGCCAGTTGCCAGGATTCGGTAGCTTTACGATAGCGCATCCGTCAATTGCACGACTCAGCGCTAAAGAGAACTCTAGTTCTCATCGGGCCAGTTGATTCCAGCTGAAAGACTCGAATGAT